CTGAAATTTTTTCGATGTACCAATGTTGTCCAGATTTATATATCATGGATTTCTAGATTATTTCAATGTTGGTAACAATGATAATATTGATAATATTGGTACTATTGATAATATTGATAATATTGATTATATTGATTATATTGATTATATTGAGTATATTGATTATATTGATTATATTGATTATATTGATTATATTGATTATATTGAGTATATTGATTATATTGATTATATTGAGTATATTGATTATATTGATTATATTGAGTATATTGATTATATTGATTATATTGAGTATATTGATTATATTGATTATATTGAGTATATTGATTATATTGATTATATTGAGTATATTGATTATATTGATTATATTGAGTATATTGATTATATTGATTATATTGAGTATATTGATTATATTGATTATATTGAGTATATTGATTATATTGATTATATTGAGTATATTGATTATATTGATTATATTGAGTATATTGATTATATTGATTATATTGAGTATATTGATTATATTGATTATATTGATTATATTGATTATATTGATTATATTGATTATATTGATTATATTGATTATATTGATTATATTGATTATATTGATTATATTGATTATATCGAAACTATAGATACTATTGATAATATTGATGATATTAATAATATTGATACTATTTATAATATTGATAACAGATTACATCTCTATATTCCAATACACCCCCAAATCCATACGTCTACCCCTAGATCTTATCCCTTGATCCCCTATCGATACGTCTACTTACTTACTCTCTTACGTTTACTTATTTAAATTCTTATTCCAATCATTTTCATAGCACCCTCGAGTCTCAAAAAGATCTAAACAATCTAGGTATTAATCGAGGATCCCGTTGAAAAGGCACGTTAAACGGAAGCTGTCACGAGACGAAAAGGATTTATACAAAGTTCGCACGATTTAAAGCGTCCGTTCTGTTGCGATTCCCTACGAGATTCATAACCTCGATAAGCGAATGACAAGACGTGAAAGGGGTGCACGTTTCGAAAATCCGGCAATGATTTATTACGTTGCATGCCCCTTCAGGTTACACCTGGGAACGGAAGTTTCCTTAAATCTCGACATTTTGGAGAACGTACGATAAATCGGAATAGATCAAATTCAAAACAGATTTCGGTAATGGGATATTCTTCATTGTTCTTAGAATATTTTTTATGTAGAATGTTTGAGTCTATCTAGAGTTTTTTGGTCTGTAACTACGAGCCGCACATTTCAGTTCAAATATAAAGACATAAATAAACATCGAGTTTTGAGTATGATACCAATTGCAGTTTTTATAATTAAAGATAGCTAAATCCAAAACCTAACATATCGATATTCTTCATTTACTGTAACGCTGCAGTAATAATTAGACACCTGCCGAAAAACTTGTAGAGATAATCCTAGTTAAAGTTTAATCCTAGAATAGATTCATCAGTGACGAATTTCGTAAATCTAAAGTTGTCGGCTATAAAACGTCGACCGTAGCTTCGTTTGCAATCAGTCAACTACTTCTAGAGAAACGTCTGGATATCCACGGTTGATTGGCAATTTGTCACATCCCATTCATCCGGGCAGTACGTTAACACGAATCCCACGCAGTTAATCTTCTAATATCGAAACAATACGCGTTCACCTGGTATTATCGTCAGGATTAAATGCTCGAACGGGTAAAAGCTCGCCGCTCTCGTTCGCTCGTGCCATTGTATTCTCAATTTCACGTCGTAGAGACGGGGTGCAGGTAAAGGGGTGGAAAAAAAATCGAGCCCCATACGGCGATGGTGTATGAAGGGGAAAAGTCGGTTCCGTTGAAGCCGATGCTCTCAGAATTATTACACCGGCTAAATGGCATTTCAGCTCGTTAATGGGTATTAAAAAATGTTTCGTTTGACCCTACCGGAAATTTGTTATGCCTATTCATGCGTGCTACAGTCGGGGATAAACGCGAAGACTTGCAGCGAGATTAAATCCGCGAAATCGGTTCCTCCTTTCAGCCCCTCTCTTTCCATGGCGTCCCTTTTCGACCGCCACCAGAACCATGGCGTGCCTATTTTGCGCTCGCGGCCTGGCTTATTCGAGCATATTATTCCGCGTGTACGTGCAAAAATATTCGCGTGGCCGAACGTTGGTTAAATCCTATGCCATCAGCAAAATAGACGTCTGTCGTTTTCCCTCTCAGCCTGTTCGAGCTCGCTGTTTTATGCCACGGACCCTCTGTCGTAGTCCATTACTCTTATTGCCGCTCGAAAATCTAGTCGCGCCGCTGGAAACGAAGTTTACCAACGAGAAGAAATTTTGTCAGGAATAATCCACGCCATTGGCTATCGGCCGACGATTCAATTTGTCATAGAATTTCTTCTGGATACCCATATTAGATATCTACATAACTAATTCAACATCGAGGCAACCTTCCATCAAATTTTTTACAACGACCAAAATGTAAAAATTAAGTTTCCAAATATTTCATTTCATCCAGCTATGGTCGCTAATTGATGAAATTCTCCACAATCACGTTTTCGGAAGCCCTTTCGGTACAAACGTTTTCATATAAAAGTAACTAGAGTCACATAACACTGATTAATTCTCGGAAATTTATTTCTCGTACACGGTCAAATTCCGAGCGGAAGTTAGATATTACTGCACGTGCTTTGACAAACTGCTTTGATGCATTAAAGCAGAATGTTGATAAATGTGTTCCCGGAATCGGTGTACTATGAAAATCAGAGCTGCGATATCAGGACCGAAGAGACTTCCGATTGATTCCTCCAAGCAATTATATCAAATGGAGGAATCGGTGCACGGATAACAATTCCTCGCTCGATATTCTAAACATAGAATTCCATTTTCCAAGATGTCCCAGTATTGGAACGTAACGATTCCGAGAAGCGATACACGGGACGCAGATTGGTTCGCAAATCGTCGAATAGAGGAAGAGCATCGGTGTTCGACTGCGGCAAACGAAACTGCGTGAAAGCAGCGGAGGGGCCGAGTTGCGGCTTCTAATGTAAATTACGCGAAATCGTTGCACGAGTGACGCCATCCGGCACAAAGGGACGCTTTAGCCGCTATTTTTCCTGCTTTTTTCTCTCGCTGACACGAAATATATTACGTAAATTCCCCTTTTCCGTGAGCATTTCCAGGCGTCGCCTGTGTGTGTGGTGCGTGACGCGGTAGAAAATGCATCGCGCGAAAATGTTTTTGCCCGTGTTCGCACCTCCGCGTGTATATAAACGACTGCATTTGCTCCGATACAGTATTCATGCTGGTTGTCCCTCGCTCCAGCACACACGTACATACTCTATGTATCCGTTAGCCGGGCTCGCGTGGCAGTGTCAATATTTCGACGTTCGTTGCGCGCATCTCACGCGCCACCATGTATTGCATTATTCTCCGGCAAAATTGCTCGGGGTTCTAGCCGTGGCAACGCTGTCAGCCATAAACGGCGTTGCCGAGAATGCACATAAGTCTGCTGCACGCCTTAAAGGTCCGTGTGTATGCCGGCCATTAAGCCAGCGAGGCTGCGGTGTGCGCTCGAGAGACAGGAAAAGGCGAGGCTCTATAAAAATGCCCGGATAACCGGCGAACTCGCCGTGTTTCGTATTTGCATACGTCGCTCGCAGACCCGGCGCTGGGAGTTTTATTATTTCTCAAATTAGCCGCGAAAACTGCTGAAAGTCCCGCCGGCAGGAAATCGCTTCCGTTTTAAATCATTAACGCACTCGCGCGGTCAGAGGAGAAAAACTTTTATTTCGCGGAACCGAGAGAGACGGGATAATGCTGGGACGCAAGGGATGATGGCTGACCCATCGCGCGCCTCCACTACTGGCAATATATCTGCTACCTACATTAACCAACGTATACTCTGGGGAAAATGGTAATGCGGGAAAAAGCACTATCGTTCGCTGCTTCTTCGCTGTTACATTTGCAAATTTAGAAATCTTCGCCGGTCTCGGGTCAACTGGTATAAGATATCACACGAGGTCATATTCACTTTCAAACAATAAATCTTCAGATTTAGAAATTTAATCTTTAACAAAAGAATCATACCAAGATTCTTAAGATTTCGAACATGTATTATTAACGATAAGATAGACACGATAAATTTTACAGTTCGTACTCGTTCAAAATCAATATGAATATAGTCCTTGTTAATCTAATATTCTTGCTAATCTAATCTTGTTAATTCTTGAAGTAAATATAGTAAAATCATCTTAAGAATCATATCAAGATTCTTAAGATTTCGAACATGTATTATTAACAATAAGATAGACACGATAAATTTTACAGTTCGTACTCGTTCAAAATCAATATGAATATAGTCCTTGTTAATCTAATATTTTCGCTAATCTAATCTTGTTAATTCTTGAATATACTTGCTAATCAAATGATTAACATTTCAAGAATCTTAAAATTAATGAGCTGTAAAAAATAACATTCCAAAAGATACGTTTAACAAGAACAACTCTATAATAAAGAACAAACGAATCACTCCAGAAAGCCCATTCTATTTAACACACATTCCAGTGTATATCGTCAAAAAGCACGTTATGAACGCGAAGGCAAAACGAGTTTTCACGGGCTATATTTCCTTTCTGGTCGGAGGTAGTCGGGTTACACGATTGATGTACGGCGAGATTTTTTCGCGAGCATCGATCCGCGCTGTGTGTAATTAACCGGTTTCGCCGCGCATTCCGACTGCCCTCGGGCGCACGGAGCGTTATTTTGGTCAAACGCAGACAACCGTGGCGTTTCGCTCGAATTTTCATTTTGCACGGTCGCTTAATGTCCCTCATTAACGTGTCTAGTTCCCGAATCATTTTCCTTGCTCGTATATTTTTTATTGTTACCCGATTCACGGCCTGAATTTTCCATTAAAGAAATTTGCATATTAACGGAACGATTTGCGCAATTTTGATAAAAGGAAAAAATGAAAGTATCGTTTTTTTGATCGTCGATACGGATCTGTTTTCAGATGACAGACATCACATGCTGCCCACCGGAGAGCTGCTGGTGTTCTCGGTCACCTCGTCCGATGCTCAATCCAGTTATCGATGCAGGACCGTGCACCGAGTCACCGGTGACACCGTCGAAAGTTCTTCCTACGCCAGACTCGTGGTCACGGGTAAGTTCCCGGCAATATCCACGTACTGTTCGTTCGCGGCTGTCAAACTTTCCATCGAGTGAATATTTAATGCCGGCAAATGTATGGGGAAATTTACCGTCGGGAAGTCAAACCGTGCGAAACGTGACGGATCGCTTCTAAGCTCGAATGTTTTTTGATGATAAATGAACGTAATATAAAAGGGAGTTTCGTGCTACCCGATATATTGTGCTACGTTCACCGCGTTGCGTTGCACGGATTAGTTTCGTGTAAAACCATACATGTTTGATCAAGATTGGTTGCACGGATAAGACTTCATTTTGCTGCAGTCGACATATAACCCGGATCAACATTTATTTTGGCGCAACAAATTTAGCTTACAGCGTTTGAAAATTGTCGGAAACTCGTTATTTGCGGAATGATTTGATATGAGCTGATTGATGGTGATAGAAAGTTGTACATGCGAAAATAACTTAAATAATATAGGTTCGAAAATGCATATTTGTATAATATGTATACAGACATTTTCTTATTTTACAAACAACAAACTGTTTCGAAATTAATGATCGTAAAAATAGGAGTTGCAGAGGTTGACCTATTAAAGCGATACCGTCTAAAATGTTCTCAAACATAACTGTTTCACGTCGCGGAATCCGAGCACCGAAATATCCCGGAAACGCATCAAATTCGTATCAACAATACCAACTTCCGTGTCGCATAAAGCAGCTCACGGTCGAGGAAGCGTGCACCGTAGAGAATGCTCGTAATTAGGTTATATTCTATTTATCGAGAACGCGCGTAAAAGCCGCACCATTCGGAATCGGCTCGTATTTTCGGCGCTGTCCGTACATTTTGTTTACGACTGGAAGCACTTCGCCTAACGCAGAAACATCGAAGCGCGAACGTTTCAGCCATTAGCATTTCGGACGTTCATGATTTATTCATGAAGAAAGCGCTATCCGGGCCAACGCAGCGTGCGTCGAGCGAACGTCCTGTTGGACACCGCACGGGAAACGCGTTACAATGCATTATGATTTACTATGCAAAAGGTATGCGTGAGATCGTTATATAAACGCTCGTGTTTAAGTAGATGCGCGTTCCTCGGTTTATTCCGGAGAAATGCCTCGAACGAGCGGACGCTCACGTACGCCTCGCGACGACCAACCTTAATCGCCATTATGCTGGCGCAGCTTCCGTCACCGGAAGTCGAGCGGACTCCACCTTCTTGGAGAGCCTTCTCTCCGATACCGATCACGCTGGGAAATAATAGACGCCGTAATCTTTACGGGTCATCTCATTTTTCATGGAACCATGGGCTACGACGACCTGATAATCTGTACATTTCGATTTTCGTTAACTCTGTAGAACGATATATTCGCTGTCAGCATTTGGCTTTCAATTGGCTGTAACTTAATGAGGTTTCGGTAGGTTATACAAAAGATAGGAAGATTTATAAAATTTATGAAAGATTTTATTCAACGTCCTCAAGTATATAATTTAGTCTTAGTTGTTGGTAATTGCAACTGTGTTGTATATTTTTCTTGACTATCATACACACACATATACATATATCATCTTGCAAAATCTGATGCAAAAGTACCTTCACTTTCTATAAAATTTATGAAAGATTTTATTCAACGTCCTCAAGTATATAATTTAGTCTTAGTTGTTGGTAATTGCAACTGTGTTGTATATTTTTCTTGACTATCATACACACACATATACATATATCATCTTGCAAAATCTGATGCAAAAGTACCTTCACTTTCTATAAAATTTATGAAAGATTTTATTCAACGTCCTCAAGTATATAATTTAGTCTTATTTACTGGTAATTGCAATTGTGTTTTATATTTTTCTTGAGTATCATACACACACATGTACATGTATCATCTTGAAAAATCTGAGATACAAAACTACCTTCACTTTCTACAAAATTATACAATAAAATCTTCCTACCCCTCAGTATAACGACACAATTAATTCCGAACCCTAAGAAGATTATCTTCGATTTCTGATCAAAGCTCTTCCGATGAAACCAGAGTGGGATTCAAAGTTGCAGAGCTTAAGCCCTCGATCAATGACATCCTCTAGTTGCATCGTTACCAGCGTAATTATGATCACAACGAACATTAACCACGAACGAACCTGATACACGGTTACCAATCAAATTCACCAAATGCGGTGTTTGATTGGAAACCATAGTATCAGGTTCGTTTACAGTTAATGTCCATAGCATGCGTCATTATCCAAGGGATGATAATTAACCCCCAGTAACGATGCAGCGAACATGATAGTTCGTCGACGTTCATCCCGGTGTTGGAGAGGTCTGCTGATTCATAAGACACAAAATGGGTCGAATGTGGATGAGCGTCTGGAACAATAGATGGCTAATGATCAAAGTGTAAGTCGAGCGGCCGGAACGGAGAAGACACGGAATCGAATGCGAGATGAACATATTGTTCGTTAGTTGCGACTCGTGCAACGAAATCAGGAGTCGTTGAGGAAAATGCAGCCCAAGGAAGAATTTTCGGACTCGTTCCAAAGAATGAGGAAAATGACGGAACTTCGGAATCGATACGAAGTTGCTTTCAGATTGTCAGACGTTTCCTTTGAGAGAGGTGTAATTCTATCGCTGAGACCTGCACAAAAAGGTCCTATAAAAGTTAAGATCTTCAACGAACAGCGAATCTATTGTGCTCCCTTGACTGTTGTAATGATGCTTGATAATGGGAGGTTCGAGCAATTGTTGCGTTAAGCGGATAACCATTAATTCTTCGTACAAAGATTTCCTGTCATTTTTTATCGCTTTAGCTGATTCTTAAAAGATAACCACAGTGAGAACGTTTGTGGTCAGATAGAATATAGAAATTATTTATAGAGTGTTTATCTTTTAATCTAATTGTGCGCACCATTCTTTCAGTATTAAAAATTTATGTAGTTTTACAGTAAATGACTTTAAGACCATGACGTTCGTTTTTAATGATACATGTAGATGTTCTATCTTGAAATAAAATTTGTAGATAAAGAAGTGTCTTATAAATGTTAACAATAATTTCCGGTAATTATAAGGAGTTGGCAACCGTCTCGTAAAAGATAACTCAAACGTCTGTGTAGATTACGCAGCGGGTCACGTCGAGGTTAAGACGACAGGAAATTAATCGATCCCGCCAAACAGGGTTGAGGAGAGGAAACGGAAGTTCCTGAACGTCCGTTCACATCAGTGTCTCGTTCCCGTGGCAGCCGTCCATCCCTCTTTTTATCATAGTCACCGCCATTATCTGTTCTAGCATTTTTCGCAACCTCTCACCCGCTACTTGCCCTCCTCGCCGCTGACACGACGCAGCTACATCACTTCGCCATCGCAGCATTTTAGGGAAGCACCGCCTTTTAAGCTGGCTGTCCATTAAACAGCGGAGCCGGATGAACCGCGAACCGTTTAAAAACTCGAATTCCTTAAGCCAGATACGCGTTCGTCCTAATGGACCAACTCTCGACGCTTCAATCGACTCTCGGAACGTTTCGCCGGTTTCCCTTCTCGATGTCCACTCGCAGAAACTCGAGAATCCACCGGTTTTCGAACTTTAATTTGTACATTCGTTTCGAGTTACTTTGTTTCTGCAAATTCTTTTCTCGAGAAATATGATCGGTGGGGCTCTGGACGGAAACCAATATTTGCCTCCGTTTTAAGAGATGCCAGCGGAGATAATGGAAAAGATTTCGGAGGGTAGAAACGAAGTCGATACAACTGAATGCAAATACAGGAAAATATTGCTTCATAGGATTTCTGACGTTTTTTGTACCGAGTGTTTTCTTTGGTACATGTATTTGTAAAAGAATTCTCCGAATTTGCAAATCGTCGATGAGGGTGATTATACTTGAAAATGTTTCCCCGAATTGTCCGATCTAATCAAAATTGAATTCGCCAGCAATCTAGTCGCATCCCGGGTAGAGTACACATTTATCGCGAAAACAGAATCGAAATCGATGACCGAGCAAAAGCTGGCGAAACTTTTCCACGGTTTTGGCGTCAAACTTTTAATTATATTCGCAGCCACGAATCAGCGCCACTCAGTTCGAAAATGCAATCAACGGCAAACGTTGTCTCCCAACACGAAGTGAATCTGGTTGCACCGGAAGCTAACGAAACTCCCAAGTTTTATCGCGGCATCGGAGAATTTCCTTCTGTATCGTTCATGATCAATTGATATCACGACCGAGGCGATACATTTAACTCGATTCGGCGAGAAGTTCGACCGCGAAAAGAAAGTTGCGCTCGAGGATGCTTCTTTCAGCTACAACTTGGATTTAATCGAGCAACCAGTCGGTTCCGCGGTCGAACGGTTTCTTGGCTAGTTTAGCATCTTCTCTTTTATTGGCCTGATCTCGACGCCATATTTTTTGCCCGGGCTAAAGCAACACGACGTTTCTGGCCACCTCTGGCCGCCGCATCGTTCTTTCGAGTCTCGGCCGAAATCCAAAGCGTAACTCACACCGTGGTTATCCAGCGTGCAAAGAACCCCCACCAAAAACTTTCTCAACGTGTCGCTTTATTTACGATTTTCCAGCGACGATTGTTGCCCGCGAAAGTCGTAAAAGCTGGCGACGAACTGCTTCGTTGCGGGAAATCAGTCAGCGTAAAGGAAACGCTGACTCCACGAAACAAGGGGTGAGCAAACAGAAGGGGTGGAGAAAACGGAAGTGGAGCGTAAAGATTAGCCTGATATATTAGTTAAAGTCGCAGCTTTTCGATGGTCCGTCTTTAAACGACCCCTATTCTCAGGACGTTTAAATATTTTAAAATTTTTTGAATATTTATTGCTATCTCACTTGAAAGATAAACCGAAAAGATTCATACATCTTCAGGATAGTGGACTCGGTTTTTGGTGCGACGATTATACGTCTTATTGTATTTTTTTAGAAAAATGTACAAAGTAAAAAGTAGTTCCCAGTCACAAAATGACTCGATGCTCAAATCCAAACTTTCGAAAGTTCCCTATCAGTCGATGCAGTCGTTCAGA